TTTGCTAACAAATTGTTCTCAACGAGGCAAAAATTTTATGGATTTTTTAAAAATGAAATTAAAATCTTAAACATAGACAACAAAAAAGAGTCAATCAACGCAAGTATACAGAAAAAATACTGCCTTGAAATTGCAGTTTTTGAAATTCAAGAAAAAAAATAGACCCTTAAAGCTCTGAGTTTCTAAAACAATTTACACTTTTTAGAAAACACTAACCCAATTTGAGAAAACTGAATCAATATGATTTTTTTCCGCTGGAAAATCTGAAAATTAAATGCGGGACTAAAAATAGAACACGTTTTTCTTGACTTTTACGCTTTCACAGTTCGATAGTGGAGTTTTCATGTTCGAAATTGCGAAAAACTAAGTTTGAGCAAGTACAAATGTTAAGACTTTTCCTGAAAAAAAACAAAAAAAAAAAACTCATCACGACCTACATAAGAATCTGAACTACGTTCATCGACTCTTAAAAAGCTTTAATTACAACTAGAAAAACTTCAATTATCCAATGAGAGCTTTCCTCTCTGAACTTGAAATATTTTCCAAAAAACCCACTCTACCCCAGAATTCCCCTCCTTTCTTTAGAGAGTGGTCGAAACAACATCATATATTTCTTTTCTGAAATTGATTTGAAACATGCATTTTGGCTGATTCACAGAGATCATGCCAGGAAACTACTTTGTCTGAATCTTTTCATCAGGTGCAGCTTTTTGCTCGATGATTGGTAGGTTTACATTGCACATGCGGTACAATACTTTGACTCAGCTGGTGAAACTGGCCTTAACAATTATTATCTCGAAAGAAAACAAGATATTTCCAAAATCTGGTAGTACTCCAAGTCATTTTATTTCAGTTCCAATTCAATTAATTTTATGGAAGATAAAAACTTTCCAATGAGTACGCAAAAATGGTCATTTTAAAATATCTTCTTTAATTGGCAAAAAAATGGAGAAAATGCTTCAAAAATGCATTTTTTATGCTTTAATTCGAAAACAATTATCAGACACATCGTCGTTTTTTGGTGAGCACTACCTCATTATATTCAATAGATAATTGCATCGAAAGTGCTTTGCGTTTAGAAAAAATGAGTTAAATGCACGAAACGGTTAAAAACGAAGAACTATACCAAAATATTTTGATTTAGAATACTGAGTCCTATATTTTGATCAGCTCAAATCAATCTTCAAAGCAAAAGCTTAATTCAATACTTTAATATGGGGTTCATTAAAATAGAATTTAAATGAAATACGTGAACCATATATTACTGATTGCCATTCATTTTTAAAGAAAAAAAATCACCAATATCGTCTGCTTGAAATGTTAATTCGATTTTCTGATCTGACCATGTTGCTCGAATTAATTTTCTTAGCTAATATTAGCCAATCAGACTCAACTACATTTCATTGAGTTCAATATATGATTTTGGGCCGTTTAGTTGCAAAGACCCTAAAAAATAAATGATTGACAGGTATCTCTTCAACTTATCTCAATTACAATTGCCACTCCAATCAAGAACTAATTCAATGAATCAGCATAAGCGAATTTTGCGCCTAATAACGAACTTCCTCTTTTTGCTAAAGGGAAATAAAAGATATCAGTCAAAAAAAGGATTCAGCATATGCTTTAAAAAAAGACCTTTCATTGAAACTTGGTCGATCCCAGAGGGGCTAAGGGGGCCTCTGCAACCCCCATCTGCACTCCTAAACTCGCACCTGAGCTTTAACATGATACCGGATTTATTTTATCAGCGGCCTAAAACCAATATTCCTATATGCTTAAACTGATGCTGTTAAATCGGATTGTCTAATCTCAGCCAATCGAGATCAAGCAAGATGGTCAGTCATTTTAATTAACATTTCAAGAAGATGAAAAAGTTGACAAGATTTTCTGTACTGACGATTATTTCGTAACTATGAACAAATAATTTGCTTCACGTTTCTTGCTCTAGTATGTAATTTAACTTCTACTAGAAATAGACAAAAATTAAAGTGTTTATTGTTCCGACTTTCGAAGAAAGTTGGGGAATGTATATGCTCGGGGTGGTTTTTTATTCGGACTTCTCAAAAATATTTCTCAAAAATATTTCCCTCGGGGGATCAATCCATGGATCTTCGTGATTCCAGAAGGGTCGCGCTAGCGACTAGACAATCCTGACTTAAAAATTTCTGTGAAACGCTATCTAATATACTAACGTGAAAATAAGAGCACTGTGCTACTTTGATGCTGATAATTAGCGCGAATTATTTACGCGTAGTGAATTATCCTGCACTACAAAATCGTTCCAAATTCAAGGCAGGCTAACTGGTCTTATTATATCCATGCACAGTTCTTAATATTTAGCTTAAAATTCATAATTATCATTTTTGGTCAATAATTCATTAAGCAAAAATTGTTCGAGACCAGTTTTTAGGCAGTCGGAACATTCAGGGCTTTGCCATGATACCAGCAGTCTTGTTTCAATGTATTCTCGGATGATTGGTTCAATTTGTTCAAAATATGGCAGACAATGTTCAACTTTAGGAGTTTGAATGGATTTGGTATAATTCTTTTTTGGATCTTTCAGCATAACACCCTTATAATCTATTGACTGTGAGCTTGCTTTGAAGTGATTGAGCTTCGTTTAAAATATGAACGTGGAAAGCGTGTTGCAAAAAGCAGTATGGCAAAAAATGTGAAAATAAAAAGTTTTCATGAAAAAAAACCACACGATCAGTAGGGGTTACGCATCAGTATTTCGACAACCGCGTATCCATGCTTGTCAGTCAGCAAACAAATAATATATTAACCAATTGAGGCAAGGAAGAAATTATTTTTCAATAATTATTTATTTCCCAAGTTTACTTGCTCATCTCTATTCTGATTGGTTAATATAATGATTGTCTGCTTACTGACGAGTATGAATACGCGGTTGCCTGAACACTGACAGCAATCCGCCAGAAGGATAAGCAAGAGTAGAGGGAAATGCTATTGAATTTACAAAAAGAAACAAGATTGCTCGTACTGCAGCGCAAAGCCCTGAATGATCCGACTGTCACATAATCCATATCTCAGACTTTTTGGGAAAACAAAATATTGAAAACCTACATATTTTGGACAATATTGAAGATCAAGTGTAAAATTTTGAGTCGTACGAAATGGACTGATAAGCTAGCCTCAATTCAATTTGGATAAATCGCCGCGCATAAATAAATCGCGTTACGCTCTGGGCATTATGAATAAATTATCCAAAGCTCGTAAAGCTTAGCCCAGAAACAGGCCAAATTTGCAATTTTCAAACAATAAAACATATTTGGAGGTAAATTATCTTTTTACATTTGATTTCAGGAAATTGATATCTTCAATAAGCTATACGAAATTTTTGCTAGAAAGTTATTATTTCGATCACCGAAAATTGATTGTATAAAAAACCACTAAATAAAAATATTCCGTTTTCATCGAAAGTCGGAACAATAAATGAAAAATTTTTTGTCTCAGTGCGAAGAAACTTTGCTTTTGAGATTGCCTCAAATAATATTTGGTTAAAAAGTGAACAATGAAAAAAAACCGTAACATTCCCTTCACGCCAAGATACAAAGTAATGTATTTAGCTAACACATTATTGCGATCAATTAGCTAGGCGCCATTCAATTTGGAATGGTTTATTCGCCGAATTTTCTACGCGCTAATACAAAAGTGGAATTAATCGAAATTGACGTTTTTAAACCCGCATAACTTCCCAAAAATTAATGACAGGTCATCATAGATCACAGGCCATCATATCTTTCAGATGGTAGTGTATATTTTCCGTCCAAAACGCTCATTTAAATGCCAAACCTGGTCTGAATAAAAAACTGCTCCAAGCATAAATATTCCGTCATACTCTTTGAAAGCCGGAGCAATATAAATGATTAGAAAAGAGAAGACAAGACTAGGTCACTATCGAGCAGTGTTGCTTTAATTTGCGCTCTTATGGAAACTCTCTATGACTCCTCAGAATGCCATTTAAATTGACTAAAAATTTTTTTTGGGTTGCAAAATGAGCCGCTAAGTATATAGAGTGACACAGTTTGCGGCGTCTCCTAACGCTTTAATAAAAACCTGGAAAATAGTATTCATAAACTAGTCAGAAATGGTAAGTTTTTCAGAGTTAATTTTCTCAATATTGAGCTCTAGATATCGATATCTTCGAGAAGGTATGAACATAGCCAACTGACAGTTAGAAAAGAGTGATCAACGCAAGGAAACTGAAAAAAAAACGGCTCGTTTTTTCAAAAATCGGTACTAGTTTACTTGTTTGGTCCCGTGACAAAACTAGTTTCGAAGATTGGTCACGCCTGTTTTCTGAAAAGAATAGCCAGCACGAGATTTGAACCTACGCCTTAGGGATGGTATCCGGATTCGTACCCGCTTGACTAATTAGGCCTATTTAGACAGCAATAGAGAGAAATAAAAATGCTTACTGTTAGAATTAGTTACATACTGTACCTCGGTTTTTATTAGGGGCCACAGCAATTTTGAGGGACCAAGCAAGTAGTACCCAAAAATTTTCATCTTTTCAATTTCGAAAAAAATAGATAGCCTTAAAGCTCTTTGAATGTGTATAAAAATAATGATGTACACTTTTTTGTTAAAACTAACCTAATTTGAGAAAACTAGATCAATAGGCAAAGTTTTTTTTCGCTGGGAAATCTGATAATTTCCGTTTTCGAAATTAGATGTTGATTACGTTTTTCGTGACCTTTACAATTGTGCTGTTCGATAGTGGAGTTTGCCTTCTTTTTGACAATAGAAATGCACTCAATTTAAAAAGATATCACATGTCAAAACCGCCACAAATCAAAACAGAGCTTGAACATGAGCGTGGACGTGAAGACTTTTTCCTGCAAGAACTACATAAGAGTACTCACTACGTTCATTGCTCTTAAAACACTCTTTCAGAAACTGTGATTTGCACAGTAAAAACTTCTCTAGAGAAAAATTCATTTTAAAGGCAGATTTTAACCATATTTGTGTCTGAAAACTGTGTAAATAAAATTTTAATTCATTCCTGCTACAGATAATTATTTCAATAATTGATTTGAATTGAAGCGATTGCACAATCAGTGTAAAAGATAGAAGTTTAACTTAATCGGCTATATACATCTAACTGATTGATTATACTGATTTTAAAGTAACTGAAAGTTAATTCTAATTTAAGAATATGGTGTACACCAAATCAAATGAATTTATGACCATTTGAATATTTAAGTTCAACTGCATTTAAGAGTAAAATTGTTTATTGAAACATATATATTATTAGCATAAGAAGGGAAAAAAAGGTTTACAAGCTTTCAATGGCAGATGGTGGTCACTGACGAGGATAGGTGGCGTATCAAGTAGTAAATCAGACAAAGATAACACCAACAGCAAAATCTTGCGGAAGATCAAACAGCAAAATCTGGCGGAAGATTACTTTAGCCCGTCCTTCAAAACTAACTATGTTTCCCTTCTATAAAAGCTTCTTGAGTAGTCTAGTCACCAAGTAAAACTATTAGGGTCTGTGTTCGATCTGCGGCGAGATTCAGAAGAGTTGTTTTTTAGAAGAGTCAACAATTTTAATTCTTCTCTGGAAGAAGTTCTCCCGCACACGGTTATGGTACCTCGTCAAATCTTCATATCTTTATGTGGTTGGAGCAACTAGGCCCAGGATAACAGGAGAGAAAGAGACTAGAGATACTGAATGGGAAATTGGACTGAGTCTGTTTCGATTAAGCTCACTAAGTGGCATTTGCACTACATCACATTTATAAATTAGAGTTGATTTTCAACTACAACTGCAACTGATTTCAGAGTCTTTCTCTTGTTACTAGCATGGCTCAACTATGCTTCAGTTTCATTCTGCAATCGACTGTTGTTCTTCTCCGTGTTTTGCTCTGCTGTGTTGTTATCGTCTGATTTGTGTAGAATTTGAACTGTATAATGGAAGTTGGCCTTGTTCTCAACTGCGCGTAGTGGTTCCACCGGCAGATTAGTCACCGCCATGCTCCTCAACACAGCCCCAGAAGCCACACTCCATCCCATGCTGTAACTCAGTTCCGCCTCCGCCCCACTGTCAAACTTCACCAGAGACAGAGCCCCGCCGGGGGAGATGAGTTGCACAAATAGCTTGTACGAACAGATACTCACTTAAACAGGAAATCACAATTAGTATCAGAGGCGGACTGCTCGGAAAACCCTAAAAAAGGTCAACAAAACCATCCCCTTGAAAAAATTCTAGGTCCTCCACTGATTAGACTCATACGTCACTACAACAAACCCCATAAATGAAGTAGACTGTAACTAAGTGCTCCATTATTTAATTTTCTCGATTTAAATATAGCCAACAGACAGTTGCAAAGAGTCATTAACGCAATGAAATGAAAAAAAACTTCATCTTTCAATATCAAAACGATAGATGGCCTTAAAGCTCTTAGAATTTCAAGAACAATTTATGATAGACAATTTTTTGATAAAACTTACCCAATTTGAGAAAATTTGATCAATAAGTAAACTTTTTATTTCGCTGGGAAATCTGAAAATTAAATTCCACTTTCGAAACTAGAAGACAATCATGAACTTTTTGTGACTTTAAGAGTTTTGCTGTCCGATAGTGGAGTTCACCTTTTTTCAACAAAAGAAATGAAGTGAACTTAAAGATAAATCAAAAAGTCAAACCGCGAAAAACCAACCGTTAGCGTGAAAAATTTCAGCAATTTCAAGAATCACCAAGACCTATAAAAGAGTATTCACTACGTTCATGACTCTTAATAATTAAAATTGAGTCGATAGTCCAAATAAGCATCAGATAGTCAAAGGCTGTTCCCAGAAAAACTTCTGAATTTCATTTTATATATATATATTTGTTTTACATAGCAGTAAAAGCAAATAAGGCGGTGCTAACCAGAGGTCTTGCCAGGCAATCTGTTTATCCTCCACACGATGGCTTTGTATGAGTGCTCGTATTTTGCAACTCCTGCGGTCACCTGGATCTTAACTCCATGCACTTTCGTCTTGGACACGTAGCCAGTCCTCCTCTTGGCCGCCTTAACCGATCCCTCCCCTAACAACGGGCGATCGTATCTCAGCAAACCAATCCACTGTTCAGGCACTGGAACCACTAGCACAATGTTCTCACATCGTCGCATTTCAGCGTCGAACTTAAAATCAATTTTCTGGATCGAAGGCAGAAACAGCTCGGCTTCCAACTTGAACACGCCTCCTTTTTGCTCACACGTGATCAAAGGTCGCATCGGGATGTCTTTGTAAAAATGCTGCCTGACCTTGAACTCAGCCAATTTGTATTTGCATGCGTCCAAAGGCTGGAACACTATTGTACTCTGGTCCAGGTAGAGTTTTTTGTCGACCGAGTGGTGGAACTGAACGTCATCAAATTTGATCCAGGCGTCTGTCTTCATCGGTAGTATGTCTGACCTGCGCACCACTTCGACTCCCTTCACTCGCTCGTCGTTAATTCCGATGGTCACTTCGGGACTCTTCACGAAGAACGAGAGGCAGAAAAGACTGGTGCTGATACTTTCTTCAGTCACATCTCCCTGAAATTTTTTTAAAAGATTTTACACCTCTATCTCCTAATTTCAACGACAATTCAATTAACGCTTAGATCCTTCTCCTGGAAATTCAATTTGACATCGATTACTTTAAACTTGGAGCGACATCAATTTTCTACGACTGAATAAAAAAAACCACAAATGACGTACATTTCAGAGAAATTAAGTACATTTCAGAGAAGTTAAAATATACGTAAATGGAACGAAATGTATGAAAAAAAGAGGATGAAAAAACCTATTCGGTCAATTCAGGTTAAATATGGGTGAGAAATTTTGTCAGGACTCAAGAGAAAATATATTGCATGGATTCAAACCGAAGTAATACGTGACAGCATCTACTCTATCCGCGAATGGTTTCTGCTTACCTTGGTGTCGATGAATCCAGTGCATATGTCCACCAGTTCCATGTGTATTTCGGGGTGTGACCAGTAGCAGCCCTGTTGCAGGTGCTTCACAGTGTGGTTCTGGAACTGATACTGGTCAAACAACTTCACAAACAGATCCAGTACTTTGAAGTCTGTTGTTCCCAACTTCGCTCTGACTCTGTGCTCTGCTATGTATCTGCTCTGCAGAGGCTGTTGAAAAATGGTGGTGGCTACAATCTTGTCAAATTGGTTCCGCCTTCTGTAATTCGTCTCTACCAGTTTAAGGGTATGCACTTTGCCTTTGTCGTCGTACTTCTGTCGACTTATTTTGTGAATGAACAATCGATTCGAGACCAAAATCTCCTCCCATGAAATCTCTGTTCCTCGTGTTTTATCGAAAATTTTGAGCAAGCTGTTTTCGCGGTCGAACTTGATTTCAACATTCATCCACCGTCTCGATTTTCCGAGCTGTTTCTCTGTCGGAAATCGAAGCATGAACGACCACTGTTCTGGGAAGTCTTCGCTACATGTGGGATCTGTTATAACTGGAGCAGGCAGAGAGATCGTAGCGGCAGCAACAGGTGACTGTGAGTTATTGACGAAGGGATTGTTAGACAGATGGACTGCTGTTACATTGGAGGCAGCTGATTGGCCTGAAGTTATTGATTGTTTGTTGACATTTGTTTGAGAAAATACCAATGGAGCAGCACTGTCCATTAAGGGGTCGCTCTGCAGTAGAGGATCGTTGGGTTCCGTGATCATCAGAAGCTTGTCCGAGATACCATTCAGATCACTCGTGGTTTTCTGCCCATCAGATGCTGTGGTGACGTCATGAGATGGTAAAATGAGAGGATTTGCGCTGTTTTCTAAACTAGCAAATAAATCGTCAGTAGCACTTTTGATTTCTGTTGGGTTCGCCGCGAAAGGGTTTTTGGTAGAGGACACCAGATTGGGACTAGAGTCGGTTGCGAAGGCGTCTGAAAAGGGGTTTTTCATTTCCGATTCTACACCCATCTTCACTTCTGTTGTCACCGGGGCACTTTCACTAGCAAAAGGGTCAAACTCATGTGTGGCCATGGGACTAGTCGCCGTGGTGTTGCTGAAAAAAATATTAAAAAATCACAACCAACAAACCAAAATTGCTGAGTGATATACAACAGTCACTAATAACAGACAAATATAGAATAGCTAAAATTGACTTACATTGTTAGACTTTGACTGTTGTTGAATTGTGCAACTGCTGCTGCTGAAACAGGAAACGAATTAAAGAAGAATAAAAACACAGGTACTTCTGTTAGTTTAAAAATTTGTATATTGGACTCTAATTCTAAGCCCCTTTTAAACGCAGCACTTTCAGTAAGTAGAAAATGATTACAAGTAAAACATTACAAGTACTATCCTAAATTTTTAAATTGAATTATCATTTGAGATGATAAGTTAAGTCACCTTTCATTCGACCGAATCCAAATTCTGCAGTCTTATTGGATGTTCAGGGGACATGCTTCAGGCCTATCTCGGCCATAACAAAGATACTTGGCCATAACAGCGCGGACGCTGGGCCATAACAAATTAATAATATATATTCCAGCGCCTTTCTATCTTGCTGACAACTTTTCATTTGTGCCCGGAAAAATCATTAGTAGGGATGAGCATGAAGCCAGAATCGGGTCAGAACAAAATGAATATAATCTTGATCCCACAGAAATGTTCGCTTTATCATTGCTCGCATATCGCATTTCTCCTGTGCATTTGACACTAACAAGACTAGCCACTGACTGGAAAATTAAAAATATTTAACCCCATTGAAGCCCTTTATTCTCATATTCTATCTCAACTCCCCGCCAGAAACTGAGACTATGTACGTAATCTAACAGCGGGACAATCGATTTCATTATCAGTCCTTACGCATTCCCTCCCCCCTCTATTTCAGCACCCCCAGGCCTCTGAAAGCGAAGGAGGTATGGCTGATTCCAGACATGCAGTTAAAAGATTGGCGATTTAAGGCAAGCAGTAATCGGTACTCTTTGCTTGATGGTGAGGCAACATATCCTAAATCTGCCCTAAAACGGTTCTCCGTAACGAGTTGAACAAGCTCTTAAATTGGATTTTTCCCGGATGGCTAAGTGTTCTCAATCTCTCCCGACTGGCGCCCTTCAGCACCACTCTACCCCACCCTTTCCCCCAGAGTGAGACACAGACAAGAGAGCGTATTTAAGACAAGAGGCAGTCTTAACAGACGCTGCAGTTTTTAAGGCTCGGGATCACCCGCAACACAAATCATAGACGCTACCCCCAAGAAAATCGAGCCCTCCGAATTATTTTAAACGCATAAAGTTGCAGTCTGTATAAAATTAATTAAATTTTATGCCAATATCAATGTTCCAGACAATTTCATGCTCAATTTTGTCATGTTACTGATCAGAAATGGAGGGGCCATCTGTTAAGTATGGACCCTACAAAATGAAAACCGTTTTTTATCCGTAAAAAAGTCCAACTCCACTTTCAACCCTTTTAAATGTTTGACCCCTTTTAACGCATCGCTTGGCATATCGCGATCATAACAAAGCTAACCTGTATTTTGAGACTATAACAGGATTCGTTGGCCGATAAACAAGGGCGGATAAAACTGTCTTGGAATCCACAGGAAGGCTACTTGTGGAATCCAGAGACAACTGGCTGAAGACTAGCGCTCAAAAAGCTTGCGCAAGCAGCAAAAGTTGCGGAACACAGAACAAAACTGCACAGCCCTGAACAGTTTGCGGAATCCACGGACAAAAAACATACACGTGTAAAGGATTGCGTTGTCGCATACAGTTACGAGGTTAAAATGTTCACGCAGTATCTATTTACGGTCAACAGGTTTTTGAGTGAGTTCGATTCAAAGAAAGAGTTCAATCTCAAATGTTGCCAAAACAGCAGCAAAGTCAAAAACATTGCCAACAGCCAGTTGAAAAAGAGTCAATGAACGCAACTGAACAGAAAAAAAACGAGGACTTATTTTTTTGATTAAATTTCAATTTTCGAATTTCGAAGAGAAAAAGATGCCTTTAAAGCTCTATGAACTTCTAAAAAAATTTATCATTGACATTTTTTTGATAAAATTATCCCAATTTGAGAAAACTGAATAAACTCGCTGGGAAATTCGATAATTAAATTCCACTTTTGAAATTAAAAATCAATCGCGTTTTTCGTGACCTTTACACTTTTGCAGTTCAAAAGGAGTTTGCCTTCCGTTAACTCAAAAAGAAATCAAAAGTCAAACCGCGAAAAAGCAAATTTTAGTCAGAACAAGTTTTTTAAAAAAAAATAACTTCGATCATCGATTCTTAAAAAGTTTGAGCCAGCCAAATAAAGCAAAACTAAAATGGAAAACAAATTGGAAAGCTAGGTATTAAAAATAAACTAGTTTATGGGTATTATATTTTTATTAACAAATTTCAGTTCCAATCAGCTTTCATCATGATTTTATTTTTGAAGGAAGATTGAGTAGCAAATTATGCGAGCTTCATATTCTAATCCGAACTTAGAGATGCCATTTTCGAGATTAAGTAGTGGTTAATGAGATATTAGTCTTTTTGGTTTTAGTATCATTGGTTGCAAGATTGATCTTGTTAATTGCTGCATTTTTCATTATTAAGGAAAAACGCAGCAATTAACAGGATCAAACTTGCAATCAGTCATACTAAAAACCAAACAGAAATTTTATTAGTGGAGTTGGTATCTCCTCAACCACTACTTCATCTCAAAAATGTCATCTCTAAATTCGGATTAAAAAATGAAGCTCGCATAATTTCTAATTCAATTTTAAATCAAAAATTCATATAATTTCGGATCTTTTTCATTACTGACTAGATTTTAGCTCAAATACTGAATTTAATATTTATCTAAAATGATGAATTAGACCATTATCTCAAATACTGAGTGGCAATTTATCCATATCATTGAAACAGCATCTCAGTATCTTAATAATGAAATAAAATCTATCTCAAATTCTTGAAACACCTACTCCCGAAATACTAAAATAGATTAATGTCTGCAATACCTACTTCAGCCACAATACTGAAAAACTAATGACAGAATTTTTTTTAAACTTAGAACCATGAAACGGCCGAAAAAATATTTGTTTATTCCAAAGGATCAAAAAGTTTTTTTTGGAAGTTCAGAGAATCTTTTAGAAGAAATGCTTTGTGAGTGAGATATGCCTTATAATGCCTTATAAGTGAGATTTGTCATTTGATTCCCCAAATTTTAGTTAAATTCTAGGTTCTAAAATCCGCACTTGCTTTTCATTCTGGCTTTAGCGCCTGATGTTTTGCACTCGAAATCAAACAAATGCGAAAACGGAAACAATTTGCTATTTTCGTTGATTTTGGATTCCACGACACAACAAATCAGCCGACCAACTTTTTGTTACAAGCATTTGTTTATGAATTCCACTAACAAATTTTAGGTCTTTTCGTTATACACCCGCCTTTAGATGAAAAGTCAAAAACAAAATGTTGCAGCAAAATTGGATGGATATTGCTAATAAATGCTGGCTATCAATATGGCGCAGGTCGAAACAAAGCAATTTTATCTAATTTAGCTTCAAACATGTCCTTTTACCAGTTTTTTTTCTACCGTTTTCTTCATATAAATTTCACAAACAGGAGTTCAAATGAGTTCTCATTCACCTTTAATTCCCAATTCTGCAGTTTTCCGAATTGATACAAGGCTCTGGATATCAGCCTTGTTTCGTAGTTAGATCGATCCTTAATAATACATTTAGGAGAGTATAACCGAAAAGACCTCAAATTTTGACCTTCTAAAGGGGTTCTACACGGATTCCAGAGACACAAACGCAACAAATGATGCATCTCATGAGAGAGCACAATTTGGCCTCGTAATGATTTCCAGCCACGATGTTCAAATCAACATTATTGTTGCATAAAATTGAGACAAAAATTTATAATGAATGACCAGCGAGAACACTTGAGAGAAAGACATGGTTAGCAGATTGTTAGAGGAGTAGAATTCATACTGAGCGAGAAATATTAGATTGAGGAGAATTGGCAAGCATTCATACCTTTTCTTGACACGAAAACATCGAAAATAATTCTTAAATACAATTTTTTCTGCAGCACCTTTTTGACAGGGTAAACAAGTGCATTTCATACTACACACCGAATGCCTGTGAGAAGCCGAAGTAGGCGGGACTCCTTTTATTGTAGTCTTTCTTTCCACAGAAGGTAAGAAACAACATTTCAAAATACAATACAGTATAAACTGATTTTTAAAAACTAAGCAAATTGGTAGACAAAAAATTAGATCAAGCGTATAGGTCAAAAAGAATGAACAAAATGTGCAAATAATTTAAACACGCATTAACGAAAACTGTTCATTTGACTCGTCAATTTGAAGTTCGTTCAAATAGAATGAACTTTGTGTATAAATTCAATGGTTATAATCTTGCGGGCACTCGATAATTGGCTAGGCGAGAACCATAATTTTGAGCGAACAGAAAAAACTGTATAACTATTGCTGAACATACTGTGCGACATAACATCAATTTTTGGAGCAGGAAATGAGAAAATATCCAACAAGTAGTGGGAACAGCGTTAAGGAACAGAAAACAATAAGGTCACGATGGGATATGGTATTGGATCTGATATAATCGTGCATATCAAAAGGGGGTAAGACAACCTTAGCTCAATTCCGGTAACGGGAGCGCAAAAATTAACTTAGCCAACAGACCGCTGGAAAAGAGTCAATGAACGCAAAAAACTGACTTGAAAAATATATGGTCTTAAAGCTCTCCACAAAAACAATTTAAGATTGACACTTTTTTGATAAAATTAACTCAATTTCAGAAATATGGATTCATAGATAACTTTTTGATTCCGCAGCGAAATCTAAAAATTAAATTCTATTTTCAAAACAAGAGGTCGTTCAGAAATTGCTAAGGTTAAGGTTGATTAAATTTTTATTTTTTTTTGCGACGCCGGCAGCTCAGTGGTTGCGCGCAGACTCCAGAATCGGACTGGTCTCCTTTTCTTGTCGTACTTTTTCAAGATTCAATGAGCGTAGTGAACACTCTTATATAGGTCGTGATGTTTTTTTTCCAGGAAAAGTCAAAATTTGTCGCGCTCAATATTATTTTTTCACAGTTTGAATTTCGATTATTTTTTTGTTCCGTTCTTTTATTTTTCCCCTGTCGATCAGCAAAAGTGTACAGGTCACGAAAAACATATTGACTTCTAATTTCGA